GCATGAATATTTTTTTTTGTATCGAAAAAATATCGAACCGTGACACCAAAGTATCGAACCGAACCGTGAATTTCGTGTATCGTTGCACCCCTAATAAATACCTCAGAGAGCAGAAGCTGAACATGTGAACTGCTCATGTGATTGTTGGGTATTCCTGTAGGGTCTACCTGCAGCACTGTGAGGCGACTGTTGTTGTGATTTGGTGCCGTATAAGTAAAATTTAATTGAATAACAGGACGTTTAAAATTTCTTCTGTAATAAACACGTTCGCGCACGTTGAAGCCACACAGCCCGCCAAAGCACGGCGGTTTAGCTGTAGCGCAAAAACTCTGCTTACACAAACGTGCTTTTATTTAAATAAATGAACATTTGCTTCATAACAAAAGAATGTCAGTGCGGTTCTGCTGATTTCCCTTCTGATGATTTCCTCAGCAGAATTTTGAGATTTCTGAGGATTTTAATCACAGTTCTGTTTCCAAAAGTGACCAGCAGACGATCAATGAAGAAAAATAAGGGGATGATTTTAAGCAGGACTTAAATGCTAATGTGACAGTGCATCCTCCTGCTTCCTGCCCAGCATCTGTGTGTGTGCTGTGGCCTCCCTCCCTCCCTCTCCTCAGCTCTTATGAATCGATGATCATGTGGTGTAAGGGAGATAGATGGCCCCCAGCTCCATCGTGTCTCCTCTAATTGTAAAATATTAGTTACATTAGACTCTGGCCCATGATTAATGGAACTTATTTGGAAGGTGGACTCTCACACACACAGACACACACACTCACACACACACACACACTCACACACACACACACACACTCACACACACACACTTTCTTCCTCGCTCTCTTCCTGAAAGAATTGAGTGATTTCACTTAAAGTGGACAAATAGGCTTCCCTCTGCAGGAAAGAGAAGAAGAGGAGGAAGATGAAGCAGAGGAAGTGACGGAGGGAGATAAGAGCGAGGGGAGAGCTTATGAGAGGGGGTAAATAAGAGCTCCACTCGGGGAGGGGTGGGGGGGTTTAAGCTTCTGCATGGATAATTCTGTTCGCAGGATCACACGATGAAGAGCTCATCGTGTTTACAAGCTGATCGCTGTGAAAAAGTATTTTAGTCTGCACTGACGCTACCTGCCCCCAGAACATCCACACAAAGAGCTCGAGATGACTTCACAACAGTGTGGTGCGCGCACACACACAC